TGTATATAAGGTCCTATGTTTTATAATATCCTTTGTAGAATAAAAATAAAAATATCCTATGTTTTAAGGTTGACCCCTTTTTGATAAAATTTCTGCTATCTAGTACTACGGTCTAATGATTTTTTTCTTCACTTGTAAGTCAAAGGTCTTAGGTTCGATTCTCGTTAAATGTGAATTTGAACTACATTGATAGTCCATTGTGAAGCTAAATCACTTCCCTTCCTCTTAGAGCAACTCCACCCTTGGAGCCCTCCCCCCAGTCAATCCACTATTCAATCCATCATGTGAACAGTAACTGCCTTTTGCACTCCACCCATGCAATTTAATAGCCCTGGTAATGGGCAATAAAATATTATTAATTTTTTTTTACAAAATAATACAAAATAAATTTATATGTAATTTCGGATAAGATATTTTAAATCGTTCTCGTTGCGCCACGTGTCATTTACCCAAAACGACTATTATTAGTCATAGATTTCGACAAGGACTCGAACTTTCAAAACATGTAAAATCAAAGTAACAAACATTATAACTGGAAATTCACACCCAAAAGCACACGGAAAAAATTCAAGCAAGATCCATAAGGCAGCATGAATTACTTACACAATACTCAACTTATCATCAAAACCATTTCTTGTTTCATTTGTGCCATCATATAAAACCATTTCTTTAAATCAGCTTCAACATCCAAATCCCACAAATTTTTTAAACAGAAAGCAACAAAATTCACAATTTAACGCATATTCCAAATCCCAATCACAAAATGCATGAGAGAGAGAGAAAGAGAGAGAAAAGAAACTGACCTGTTGTGACAAAACCCAACTCTCAAACCTAGTGAAGTACTCATAGGAGGCTCGGAGAACACCAGAACGGAGATGGGATTTTCTCAGTCAGTGGATTTGAAGTGAAAAAAAATGGATATTTTAATGGCAAAAGATATGATCTGAGGGTGAAATATTGGAAACCCAGATCAAAAAGTTAAGAGATTTAAAGAGATTGGGGATTGGCATGTGAGACTGGGCAAGCTGCTGCAAACCCAAGAAACTGGTTCGACTGAAACAGGTTCGACTGGACCGACGCCAGGCATGGCGTCAACCTGACGTCACACCCCTTGGGCTGAAGGGCTGCCAATCCCTCACGAGCCTGGCCCTTGGGTTCCCACCCTCACTCGGGCTGCCCAACGCTAGAGCCGAACCCACCGGCCCTCGGTCTCTTTCCTCTCGCCTGTCCCCCGAGCAAGGTCCAACGGTGGACTTACTCTTAGTGTAGATAATATCGTTTGTCGCAAAAAAAAAAAAAAACTTCCCTATAGATCGGTCAATAGTTTACCAAAATTGTCACTCTTACTAAAAGCACATAGCTTCGTAACTATACATACATAGATAGAACTCGGAAGTAAACTGTAAAAGTGAGTGATTGAGAGAACACGACACAACTATTGAATAGATTAGGAATAAAAAATGAATCTAGTCACATTTAAAAGCGGATAAAGCATCACACTGCTAGCTGTACTCGGATTTTGTATATAATATTGCGGAAGCCGAGAGGAAGTTCAACAATCCTCGTAAGAATTAAAAAAGTAGATTCCTTAATCATCTTTCTAGTGCCAAAAATATATGTACAAGGTATTTACCATTTCCTTTGCTGCAAATAATATGAGGAAAAGTCTTAATCTAAATAATACAATCATCTGATGTACAAAAATTTAGGGATGTATTGCATACTTTTATAGTTTTATTTGTAATTGTGGTCAGGTTATGAATTCAAACTACACAATAACATTTAGATAAGAAGATGAAATATTGCAAATAATCTCTTTACCGCTCATTTGCAGATTATCACTTCAATGAGATAGTCCTCTCACTGCTATGGGAGATAAGAACGTCAACGTTGAAGAACGGCATGAATTGGCGTGAATATTGCCTCTGTATCTCATCTCGATTCCAGTACCATACAAGTATGATGACCAAGTGCTATGTATACTAGCCTTCAGAATGTTACTCCAAATGCATTTCTCTTATCTAGCTAAAGTGACGAGATTATCTACTAGTTGTAAACATGCCTGCAAGGATAGACATACCTAACGGATGTCAAGTTAACATCTCCAAAGGGTTTGCCGCTTCTATTGGACGACCCAGTACACCGCTAGCCAATCAATTTGTCCTTCACCTGAAGCATGACTGTAATACCTTGATTATTTTTAATATGTTATTTAGTTATGAAATTTCAAATTAATTGATTTAGTTATGAAATTCAGATGAAGGGAAATGTGAAACCCTGTTCCTGGACATTATTGTTAAATTACGTATTTTATAGTTGTATTCGAAGTTACCACGTATTTATATTGACAGCGTGTATTTGTTCGATAAGTGAAAAAGATGAAAATACCCTTAGTTGGCTAAACAGAATTATACGAGGACATATTTTATCCTTATTTGTTTCACCATATTTCCTGGCATATTTGGATAAAAGTCGATCCCATGAGCACGTAAGCGAAAACCGTTCGTGATTTGAGTTATAATGAAAGAGATATAAACGAGCAAATGTAAGGGCAAAATGGTCATTTGACCAATAATCTGGAAAGCTCCAGCAAATCTGGGGTGCCATGTGTGTGGTTGTGATGGGGAGAGGAGAAGAGAAAAGAGAGAAAAGAGGGATTGGGGGTGCCCAATCAGGGAGAGAAGAAAGGAGGGAAACGTGAATCATAGTTATAACAAAAGAGATATAAACAAGTAAAGGTAAAGGCAAAATGGTCATTTGACCATTAATCTAGAAGGCTCTAGAAAATCTGGGGTGCCACGTGTGTGGCTGTGGTGGGGAAGAGGAGAAGAGAAAGGAGAGAAATGAGAGAAATGAGGGATTGGGGCTGCCCAATCAGGGAGAAGAAGAAATGAGGGAAATGAAGGAAGGGAGAATGAGGGAACCAGATCCACCTCAACCCGTTTCCCGCGCGACCCGACCCGACGGCAGTCATGAAATCCGATGATTTCTCTGGCCATTTTCTGACGAATTGGACCGAGCCACCACTTGGAACCAACTCCACGACCTTCCCTCTTCCATTTCCACCTAAACCCGACGAGTTTTGGCTTCCATTTCACAAACAACGGCACCGGTGGGTACGATGGCTCCTCGACTGTGATTCGCCATTCATGCAACCTTCAATGTTGATCACCACCACCAAATAAATCCCCTTGAACCTAGAAGCAAGGCCCAAACACTAGTTGGTGTTGGTGCATCAATGGAGACAAACCGACAACCACCCAATTCTATGGTTTTCGGTGATCCATGACCGATTTCAGTCATTTCCCGGTTGAATTGGACTTCGGCCCAAATATGAAAATTACTCCCCTTGACTTGTTCTACAATCATGTGAAATTTGGTAATTTTTGGAGTTAGCCGAAAAATTGGGTATCCATTCACCAGAAACCGCCACCTGCGGCGATGCGTGGCTAGTGGGTCGACATTGCATTTTTTTTTTGGTTAAATTTGATATCCTAATTTCATATTTGATATTCGTTTTATGTGATTCGATTGTTTGAATTTAGTATCGTAAATGTCCGCCACTTGATTAATAAAGTAAAAGGTTTAAATAAGACGATGAACTACGAATGGCATAATCCCTTTTAAGGGTACGTAGGTAATCTAATGAAGAGGCTAGATGCAGCCATAAAATAGCCGAAATTAAATTTTGTGAATAATTGTCAAGTAAGGAAATTCATTATGGTTAATAGTGTAAGGGTTAACCATGACTTTATTTTGGCCTATCACCGTGATTAGCTTACGAATAATTTTTGGGTCGTTACAGCGACAGACCACTCAGGTCATTGGATTCATTCCCTTAGAATAGGAAGATAAGGCACAAAACCAATCCACATTCGATCGTTGTCTCACTCATTTCCAAATGATTAATCTTGATTACTCCTTAGACTTAAAGTTCTTGATCCAATATACTAGTTTGGGTGAGATATAGAATTAGAATGAGATTATCATCGATGATCTTTCAATTAAATGGTAGTTACCGACATAAATGAAAAGCGATGATATTAAAGCATGTTCCGTTGGACAACTAAAATTAAATCCATGTTAAATTAGATTCAGTATCAAAATGTGTTTGGACCTGTCGTCCTTATTTTGCCTAAGGTAACCTTGTTGTGTTACTACTGGAAAAAAAAAGTGTAATCAGATGAATGAAATCGTGCAATGAAAAGCACACGCCTTAAGGTGCAAGGCTTTTCTCAAACATCATGTGATTGACGCAACGTTATGAATGTGATTACCTTTTCTCCATGGAGATAATGATACAAAGATTTACATGTACCTTCCCGAAGAAGCACATGTACTAGTTCAAATAGTTCTAAACCATGAGACACTCTCTCAACTCATTTACTATGCTTGTAGTTCTTATTTGAAAGTTTTGTCAAACTCTAGGAAAGTATCCAGAAGTATATTCGCTTGACCTTAATGTATTTTTTTCCTTACAATAGGAGAATTTTTTTCCACTGGGTTTCTGCTACATGACGAGGTTTTAACGAGGTACTCATTCTGGATCGGTCATACCACTAGTACAAAAAACACTTTGCGCGACGCAAGTCCTTCGTCGCGCAAAGTCAAAAAAACGTCGCGCAAAACTTAGCCCAACGAACCTTCGTCGTGCGTTAACCGTCGCAGCAAGGCAGTGACAGAAGACTTTGCGCGACGAAGAAGAAGCTACGTCGCGCAAACCCTTTTTGCGCGACCCAGGGACATTCGTCGCGCAAAGCCTCTTTGTGCGACTTAGGCTGCGTCGCGCAAATCCACTTTGCATGATGTAGCTTGCGTCGCACAAAGAGTCTTTGCGCGACGCATGTCCCTGAGGCACGCAAAGCCTCTTTACGCGACGCAGGCTACGTCGCGCAAAGTGGATTATATATATATATATATATATCCCTTTTTTGGTTGGTCAAAAATATTATTTTTTTAATTTTTAATAATATTGTAATTAAATTCTAAACAATAATTAATTAACCAAATAAAAGTATTTAATTATATAATATATAAAAATGTACATACAAGATATCCAAACAATAATTAATTATATAATATTTGAAAGTCTTCTAGGTGAAGTGGCTACTCCGCATCGGCAAAGTGAAATGGTCAAAGGTGTAGCAAGATCAGATACTAGTAACGAGATTTGGAGGTCAAACATCTGTATAGCTCGTACAAGTTTCTCATGTGCCCGACATAGGCCTTCATGTCCTCGCCCTAGGCCCTCATCTGCTTGCTCTGGACTGCAAGCTGACCCTTTAGGCCGCCGTGCATTGAGTGGTTGAACCGACACTGATGACGTCAATGAGATGGGCACCTGGGACGTCGTAAGAGTATCCTCAGTAAAGGGTGTAGGCTCCCCAATCAATGGAGCACTTGCGCCTGGAGCAGTAGATGCTAATAATGCGGGAGCCGAATTGGTCACACTCCGACGACGAGTGATCAACCGCAACATCTATACACTTTGAACCATAAAATTATAACATTAGAAACTAATCCTTTCTTGCATTTGAAACTAATCAATTATAGGGTGATATTACTTTCATAGCTTTTATTTATGTGGCTGTTGTAGATCTTTGTTAATTTACTTATGCTATGTTAAGACAAGGGACTTTCAATGTCCCGAAGAACTTCAGACTTCATTCTTAAAGAAGCACTACAAGAAGTGAAATACTCAAACACTACAATGCACTACAAAGAGACTAAACAAATGAATTTCAAAATGACACCTTCTCTCAAATGTTTAGCATTTAGTCATTTTCAATTCCCTTACACATAATTTTTTAGCACATTCCTAACTACTTTAGCCTAGGTTCAATGGAACTTCAAAGTCTCTCATCCAAATGCCCCCTTATTGTAACTGGATTCCGATGGACTTATTGTTCACTGGTTGCATTTTTTTTTTTAATAATTGTTTCTTTTCCAAAGGAAGAAAAAAAAAGTTGTAGTAAAAGATGATAGCATTCCAGTCAAAGAAAATAGCATGAAAAGACCAATCCCTTAACTCAGAGAAAACTGAAGCGAACTCATGTGAAAAAGCTCCACCTATAAACATTCCAGACAAACTACCATGACAATTTCTGAAACAGCATGCCCCAAGCACCAAACCCCTCCCCTACCTCCAAAAAACTTTTAACTTTTCACATAAGAGGCATGACAAAAGGTTGGAATCGGACAATCTGATGTTTCATGAATTATGATGCCATTATCGGACAATCTGAGTACATGCATATACACATGATAGTTCTGAGATCATTTGGTTTCACTAATAGCATAAACTGCTAAATTCCAAAGTCCAATATCTCTATTATTCACAAAGTTGCAGATGTTTCATGATTTATGATGCCATTATCGGACAATCTGAGTACATGCATATACAGATGATAGTTCTGAGATCAGTTGGTTTCACTAATAGCATAAACTGCTAAATGCAATTGTAAATATGACAAACAACGGCCAATGTTATACTTTGAATTCTCAAGTGGCAACAGTTGATGGGTAGAGAGTAGAGAGCTAAACATTGAATGCTTTGAGAAGCAAAAGTTTGCTACTAATTGAGATAATTAGATACCTTCTTCAGTTGTTGAGTTGGTGCTCCCACACCAAATAGCCTGTCTAATCTTTGAATGAGCAAAGGCCGGCCCTTGAAGAAACGATGAGTTATGTCCAAGAGGAACTCCAAGAAGAGATGTGGATGCCACAACTCCTAAAGCACGTACAAGCTATCCCTGCACAAAACCAAATAAAACCCAATTCACTAAAACCAATTCCAAATTCCAAGAATCTACCTACACCATCCCATAAACTAAAAAAACCTAATTCCGGGGTAGAGGAGGGCCTTGACTGCAGTAACAGGAAAGATTTCACTTGCAATCAGCTGAGAAGATGTGACATGCAACAGTGTGGTACACATGCCAGATCTACATGGAACTCTGTAACAATAGAAAAGGAAGAGACAGAAAATTATTAAGACGAACACAGAGAGTTTTAAATTTTCCTTTTTCTTACTAAATGCATACGAAAAGGTACTTAAAGGTCACCACCCATGCAAATGCAATGAGAGAAGAGATGCATGGAGGAGATAAATTCAGAACAGAGAAAAAACAACTTATAAGCAAGTGTATGTACTAAACAAGAAAGCAAAAAAAGATGCATAATCCTTCAGTAAATAATGGAGGTTAACAAGTTTACCTTCTGAATCTCCACTAATTTGCGATAGGCATCCCATCCGTTACGATGATCATGTCTAGCAAAACCCACGATGTAGCCCCGATTATGGCCTTCATAATACCTCAACGCCGATTCGACCTCGAACATTGTGCAGATCTCGACCAACTCCACCTCATTATCATCCATAGCTTGCTAAATGGTTTCAATGTGAAATCCTTCCCTCAGGTCTGCCTCCTGCCGGATTCTATCCAGCTCAAACTGAAGAATGGCTCGATAGGCGTTCCATGTGTTCCGCTTTACCGCTAGCGTTTGCTCTGCATCTTCCTTAGCCTTTAGCACCTACACAGACTCCGCTTGGAGTTTAGACATCCTTCCTTTTCTCCTCATTGTGCATATGCTCGACCTTTTGGTTTCTTACAACACCCCATGAGTGTTCCGTCTCTCTCTTCTTAGCCAAAAGCTTCTCTAACTGTGTACTTTTCTCATGGAACTGTCTATCTAGCTTGATTTTGCTGCCTAGCTCATTCTTATAAGCTGCCTCCAACTTATAGATATTTTTTGTCTGGCTCTAGAATGCAGCCTCTGTCCAATCATTTGTCTGATTGGACATGTTCGTGAAAAATTAAGACCAAAGAAAGGAATGCCAAATCGTTGAAACAATGAGAATGACTTACCGCATATCGACCCTGGTAATAATTCCACACCAAGTGGTTAGAATCTACAATCACCTCCTCAAAATTTGTGGGAGAAATAGTCAAACGAATCAAAGCCCGAGCATGATTCACACTGTGGCGACTGTTAGTATTAGAACAAACTTTTAATCCTCCCTGTGAGCTATGACTCACAGGTAATATGAAATCAAAGATGGTTTACACCAATGAAGAAGATGATGCAGTGAGATAGAGATGAAGAATGCAGAGAATGTGACTCTGCATATTGTTACTGTTTCATTCCACCGATAGTGAGTGTGCAGAAAAAATCACACTCATCTTAATTGCTATTACAATTAAACTTGGCAGTATTCAAAATACATCCATCCAATCCTAGCCATCCATCTTACATCCTATGAGATGAAGACACATATACACTCACTTGTTTAAGACCTATGAGACTTAATAAGAAAGCATACACACAATCCTAGCAATATGAGCTAGAAACCAACTGCCACATCAGACCACAATTTACACACTAACAGCCCCCTTTAAATTGTGAACTGATTTCACTCCAAGAAGTTCCCTCAGATAACTGAATTATTCCCTTGCCAATGCCTTTGTAAAGATATCAGCAATTTGCTCTTTCGTAGGACAGTGCAACAACTCAATTACTCCTTGCTGCAGTGCTTCCTTTATGAAATGGTATCTTCTGTTGATATGCTTGGTCTTCTGATGAAAGATAGGATTTTTAGTGATGGCTATGGCTGAAGTATTGTCACAATTCATTGGTGTTGCAACTGTTTGCATTTGACCAAAATCCTCCAACACAAATCTCAACCAAGTAGCCTGTGCAGTTGCTTCAGATGCACTAATGTACTCTGCTTCAGCTGTGGATAATGCAACACATTGTTGCTTGACTGAAGACCAAGAGAAAATTCCACTGCCAAACGTAAAAGCATACCCAGATGTACTTTTCATATCATCTTCAGAACCGCTCAAATCACTGTCACAAAATCCCACTAAGATTGCCCCTTCACCTTTCTTGTATTCCAGGCCAAAATCAAGAGTTCCTCGAACATATCTTAGTACTCTCTTTGCTGTCCCAAAATGCTTGTTGGTTGGACAGTGCATAAACCGTGATAGCAAACATGCAGCATACATTATGTCAGGTCTAGTTGCTGTGAGATACAGCAAACTGCCTACAATTTGTCTATATTGAGCTTCATCTGCAGTCCCACTTGCATCTTCTTTTCTCAATTTATCACCTGAAACCAATGGAGTACTCACTAACTTACAATCTTGAAATCCAAATTTCTTCAGTAGAGAGGAAGCATACTTTCTCTGATGAATGAAAATATACTCCTCAGTTTGCATTACTCCCATACCAAGAAAATGATGTAAGAGTCCAAGATTAGTCATCTCATATTTTAGCATCATATCAGATTTAAAAACATCCATCAATTCCTGACAACTTCCAGTGTATATTATATCATCAACATAAATGGATACTATAATCATTTCTGCATCTTTCCTCCACTTGGTATACAAGGTTGCTTTACTGGTGCTTTTCTTAAACCCACAGAATGTAAGATATGAGTCTATTTCACCATACCAGGCTCTTGGTGCCTGCTTCAGACCATACAGTGCTTTATGTAACTTGTAGACCTTATCTTCCTCTCCCTGTACCATGAACCCATCTGGCTGATCGACATACACTTCCTCTTCTAGCATACCATTCAAGAATGCTGATTTTACATCTAATTGAAACAACTTCCATTTGTTCTTTGCTGCCAGTGCAATTAATGTTCTGATTGTATCCAACCTTGCAACTGGTGCAAAGGTTTCATTATAATCAATTCCGGGCTTTTGTGCATAGCCTTTTGCAACAAGTCTAGCCTTGTTCTTTTGAACTGATCCATCCAGATTCAACTTAGTTTTGTACACCTATTTCACACCAATCATAGGTTTATCAGATGGTCTTTTCACTAATTCCCAAGTTTTATTTTTCTCAATCATGCTCATTTCATCTTCCATGGCTTTCTTCCATGATTCATCCTGTGCAGCTTCATGATAAGATTCAGGTTCAACAATACACACATGACATCTTTCATAGATTTCACTCAAATTTCTATATCTTATAGGAGTATGATCAACCTGAGGTGTAGAAATTGAGTCACTAGCACTTTCAGACTCAATGAATGGAGAATCTGTAATTTGAGTCTGAGAACCTTCAGTAACAACTTGTTCCATGAAATCAGAATCCTCATTAGCTTCTTTCATCTCTGGAGATTCACTTGCAGTAAATGGAATGTACACTTCTTTGATCTTCTGTTTATCCCAATCCCATTTACCATTCTCATCAAAAATAACATCTCTTGAGAGAATTACTTTCTGAGTTTCAGGATTGAGTAATCTGTACCCCTTTTCACAAGTGCCATATCCAATAAAAATACCAATGACACTTGTTTCATCCAACTTATGTCTCAGATTTCCTGGAATAAGGGAATAACCTAATGAGCCAAACACTCTCAAGTGTTTAATTCCAGGTTTTCTTCCACTGAATTTCTCAAAAGGTGTCACATTTTCCAAAGCTTTTGTAGGACATCTATTGAGCAAATAAACGGATGTAACCACAGCTTCACCCCAAAGACTATAAGGAAGACCTTTCTCATGAAGCATACACTTTACCATCTCCACTATAGTTCTGTTTTTTCTCTCTGCAACTCCATTCTGTTGTGGTGAATATGCAACAGTAAGTTGTCCTTCCAAACCCAAAGCTTCACAAAACTGATCAAACTCATTTGAGGTGAATTCTCCTCCTTTATCTGTTCTCAATTTCTTCACAGAAAATCCACTTTGAAGTTCCACCATAGCTTTGAATTTCTTGAATACATGAAAAACATCTGACTTATGTCTCAAAAGATATATCCAGCACATCCGCGAATGATCATCAATGAATGTAACAAAGTATCTGTTTCCACCCATGGTTGGTGTTTGCATAGGATCACACACATCTGAGTGTATGAGTTCCAATGGCATTCTTGCTCTCCAAACTGACTCCTTTGGAAAAGACACTCTATGATTCTTACCAAATGCACATCCCTGACATACACCTTCACTGTCATTCATTTCAGGTAATCCAAGAACCATATCATGCTCCTGCAATTGTTGCAGACTCCTATAATTCAAATGACCAAATTGTTTATGCCACATTGTACTACTCTGATGCACATTGGTTTTCAGTACCAAGTGATCGTTTGATTTGAACACAAGTGGAAAACATCTGTTCCCCTTTTGCTTCACACTAACCACTAAGTTTGTCAGAGTTCTGTCATCAAACATATCCACCTTATAATCACCAAATACTAGAAAGTACCCATGTTCAGTCATTTGCCCAACACTGAGTAGATTCTCTACAATTCCAGGTACCAACATAACTTCTCTTATGTACCTTTTCCCTTTATCAGTGTCAATGACTAAGGTTCCTTTGCCTTTCACATCAACAAGAACCCCTGTGCCAACTTGTACTTTTGCCTTAATACTTCTATCAATTTCCACAAGTAACTCCTCTCTGGAAGTCATATGGTTACTACATGCACTGTCTATATACCAGGCATCACTCAGCCTTCACTTCAGTTGATTGCTTAACCATAAACAGATTTCCAGGTTTTCCCATCTTATTTGCAAAGTTCTTTTGTTCTACCACTTTGTTTGCAAAGTTTCCTTGCTGGACATTCTTGTTGAGATTACAAACTCTGGCAATATGACCAAGTTTCCCACACTTGTGACATTTAATCTTCCCTTTTAACCAACATTCTCCATAATGAAGTTTATCACAATATTTGCAAGCACATCCAGAGTTATTTGCTTCATTCCTAACACCCGGGGTGAACCTATTAGTCCACTGCTTCCTTTTGAACTTGAGATTCTTCTGAGATTTCGATCCACCAATATTGGTAAACTGATTACCAACTTTACTGTTCTTAGATGAAATATCTAAGCTAGAAAATGCACGTTCAGTGCTATTCTCTTCATGCCTAGTTAATCTCAGTTCATACCCTTTCAGGATAGCAACCACATCTTGTGCATCAATTACATCAATATCTCTAGTATTTTCAATAACAGAAGCAATACTATCATATGATTTAGGTAAACTGATCAACAGCTTTTGTACAATTCTTTGATTACTAAGATCTTCACCATAACTTTTCATCTGATTTATCAAATCAAACAACCTAGCTAGATATGCAGCTAGAGATTCACTTTTATACGAGTATATTCAAAATCACGACGAAGACCTTGTAATTTCATAGATCGTACCTGTTTATCTCCTACGAACTCTTGCTTCAGAATATCCCAAGTTGCCTTCGCAGTTTCTAGAGTTGCAATCCGTGGAAAAATTTGATCCGACATTGCTCCTTGAATGATTCCAAGAGCCCTCGCATCCTTGACCAAATTTTCACGATGCAATTTCATCTCCGCCTCTGCTATCTCACCCTCCGCCTTCGCTGGAGGTAGAAAACCCATCTCAACAATGCTCCACAGCTCGTAAGATCGGAAAATTGTTTTCATTCGAATTTGCCAGAAATCGAAATTCTCTCCGTTGAATATTGGAGCGCGAAGCTCTCCTCCACCAGATCCAGCCATGTTAGACTTAGATCTCACTTCTCTCTCTCACTTACTTTCTCTCCAACGAAAAGTTGCTAGAGCAAACCTCACAAAAATCTACGCCCAGAAAAAATCAGACCCAACCTGGCTCTGAGGCCATGTTAGTATAAGAACAAACTTTTAATCCTCCCTGTGAGCTATGACTCACAGGTAATATGAAATCAAAGATGGTTTACACCAATGAAGAAGATGATGCAGTGAGATAGAGATGAAGAATGCAGAGAATGTGACTCTGCATATTGTTACTGTTTCATTCCACCGAGAGTGAGTGTGCAGAAAAAATCACACTCATCTTAATTGCTATTACAATTAAATTTGGCAGTATTCAAAATACATCCATCCAATCCTAGCCATCCATCTTACATCCTATGAGATGAAGACACATATACACTCACTTGTTTAAGACCTATGAGACTTAATAAGAAAGCATACACACAATCCTAGCAATATGAGCTAGAAACCAACTGCCACATCAGACCACAATTTACACACTAACAGCGACCACGTGCATTAAAAGGAAGCACTTCACAATTGTAGACATGCTTGATTACCAGTGGAGAATGAGTTCCCCTCGCGGCTATGTCAGAAGAGCCCGACGCTCCGACAGACGATGGTAGTATAATATAAAGTTGCCCTTTGGTCTTCTCATCAAATACCCTCTACATACATGTAAATTAAGAGTCCGACCTTTTAATTTCCTTCGTTGTACTGTAACCATAATTATAATTATGTGAATATAATTCCACTAATTAGACATGATAATAGAGTGTTAAATTATCAAAGACGTGAGATATGAAAGAGCATAAACCTCTTCATATTCCTTCAGTTTATTTCATTAAAATAATTTTCTTTTTAGTGAAATAATCAAGAATGCAACTATAAATATAAACCATTGTGCACCAAACAATAATACGGAAAAATTCAAGCACTTGGTTGCTCTTCTCTTACAGGTTAATTAATCTTTCTTGTTATACCTTAGTTATTCGACTTGCATGGCATATATCCCACATGAAAAAATGAGTCCATGTTTAACAAATGCTCTTCAATTCATGCTGCTTCTACTAGTTGTTCTAACAACATCAGTTGAGGCTGGTCTACTTTCTAAAGTAACTATTCAAATCACAAACGCATTGGGACCGAACACAGACCTCACACTTCATTGCAAGTCCAAGGACGATGATCTCGGCTATCACAGACTTCATCCCGGAGATAGTTTTGCGTTTAAGTTTAAGCCAAACATTTGGGGGACTACACTGTTTTTTTGCAGCTTTGAGTGGCCAGGAGAATTTCATTACTATGATGTCTTCAGAGCAGATAGGGATGGTTGTGGAAAATGTTATTGGACTGTCTATTTTCTTGGCATTTGTTCTCATGATCACAAGTGTATTCAATGGCAGGATCGGGCCGGTTCTAACCCTAGGCCGTTAATTCCATAGCTTGCTTATAAATGTGTGTTTTTTTATTTATTTATAAATTCTTATTTTTGCCATATAATGAATTTGGTTTTGATGTAAAAGCAATTAAATTGTGAGATGGCTTCTATTTTCTGTATTGCATGTAACTCCTTAAACCCCCAACAATTGGCGGAGCCAAGAAAGTTAACATGATAAAGAAGCGTTTGTGTGTCGAGGTTCGAATTTACAGGAATGGAGTTGTGAAATTTGATGCCAAGAGGCGGACTCACTACTTTTGTCAACTGGTATAACCGCACAGTTGCAATAGATCAGTTCAATTTACTCGAGTTCAGATTTTGATTTCAATTCACATTGAGATGCTGGATGGTTGACTGCATATTACAAATTTTACATAACTTGTGCTTTTTCTTTTATTTCTCCACAAGCAATATTTGGACAAGCAACACGACCTTCACTTAAACAGTTAAGTTATAAGTCCCTCATAGATTTCCGACCAAAAACATGTAAAATGTATACTCATTGCTAAAACCAAAATTATCGTGTCAATTATTTTTCCTTTCTATATAGAGAATAAATCTTCCCTCCTACTTAACATTTTCGAACAACTCTAAAGTTGGTTAGATTAAAGTTAAATTATTTGAGTTACTAAATTCTAAGAATGTGTCACATACTTTCATATCTAGGCGTGAATAGATTATAAACTCAAATTACACACTTAGATAAGAAAATGAAGGATTAATTTCATGCGTTTACTACTTTTTGATATCCGTAAGTAAGGCATTCCGCAGTGGTTTACATGACTTGCATTCTCATATATAAGAATCAGGTTTCATAATTGTATTCTTAAAAGTGTTGTTGTATTGATGTGAATTTAATAGTTGTAGCTCAATATTATTGTCATACAATTGGACTCATAGTCCATTGTCCATACATTACGCTCTACAATCGGACTTCTCTTATTTAAGCTCAAATTTTTTGGCTTACTATGTGGATTTGCTACTATTTTATAAGGGTTAAACTCAAAATTTCGTTCACAAAAAAAAAAAAAAAAAAAAAAAATATATATATATATATATATATATATATATCAAAATCAAAATTTCTGGTCAAATGTGGATGGCCTAATAAAATAAGGATAATACTTGTATCCTCTGTGTAATGTTCATACCCCACTTTCTGTAAATAAGGTATCTTCACCCTATAAACTTCATAATCGAAATAGTTCAATTTCTTAATCTTCATTTGGTAATTATCCTTTACTGTCACACCTCAATTTGGAATGTCCACCTGAACTCCGAATCGAGCTATGTTGGCCTACACTAGGAGAGTGACGAAGCCATAAAGTGTAGTGATGTGGAAAATGTGGGTGAGTTTAAAGCTTAAAGTGCCTAAATACAAGAGTGCGCATGTGAGCGGGAATGAACCCATTTCACACGTGATGTCATAGCATAAGTAAAGTATAGTAAAAGTAGAATTAGAATTTTACCATCGAAGGTACACTCCTATACCAACATTTGCCAAGAATCCTCATCAATATGAAAGCTCTGCTACTAAAACCTAGAGGGGCGAAAAATAAAGGTGAGTGGACCTAAAAATAAAGCTTTGTAAATAATCTTTTCGAAAATGTAATAACCCCTCGCTGTAAAATAAGTATAGTTTCCACATATAACATATTACATATAGTATGAAAATCTCAATAATGCAATATGTCACAACATTTTGTAAATAAACACATAACGTATGGTAATCACATAATTTCACATAAACAAACATATCACATCAAGTGCTCATTGACATATGTTGACACACGAGTTCATGCAGAGATATTCTGATATGAACATGACTTGATGCAATAATGATTTACGCTCTAGTACTACAATCACGTGAAGACTGGCAGTATGCGCATCACATATGAGTCCTAACTGCCTATAGCAATCCAGGACATGACTGGCACATACAATGGATCCAAAGTGAGCGTACAATGTGATGTGAATATACACGTGAAAGACTGGCCCTGGCCCTAGGCGAGTACTAACACCATTGCAACACACGATGAGTAGATAACGTAAATATGATCATGCAACGGTAAATCGATAATTCTAGTGAACATAACACTATTCATGGCCGCAAATATAATTAAGGCATCCCATAATAGTACGCATACCTATGTATCCCGCAGGATTCAGAAAAATTTCATAATTCTTAACATTACGACCTTTCTTATAAACGTTAATTTAATTATGGTAATCATGTAGGAAATTTATTATTAAATACATATGTGAAAACTAAGCAAATATATATACTATATAAAAGAAAAGGCCCACTCATAGATACTTGTGAGGTCGTAGGCATTCGAACTAGGAAAGCCAGAGTCTCCTATAGTAATCACACCTAAGGATAATATTGGGACCCATTAGTAAAACTTCACTAAAACAATTAAATTTGGAAAATCGGAATGCGGATTTGGAATTTGGGTGTCGAAATGCGCTAAGGAGGGTCCCAGATAAATTTTGTAAAAGTCAACGAAAAGTCAACTAAGCCTTCGAGTTGGCCAACTACGTTAAAACTTTGGAATTTCACTAAATAGATGCCAAAAATGGACTCGGGGAGTCAAAATTAGCCTAAGAGAGTTTCCGAGAAAAATTTGAAAGAGTCAACGCAAGGAATATTCTTTGAAATATTCCAGGGAATATTCCAGATCCATTTTGGAATTGGGCCGGGCTGGGCCAAATCATAGGTTCAAATCTGGATCCGGGTTTATTGGATCTTTTTTTTAAATCTAGGTCGGGTTGACCCCTTGGGCTCGCAAGTTGCACCCGCCGGACCCAGCAAAGAAGAACGCCAATTTATGGAAATTTTGTCGGGAAACTTCCCCGGCTATGATTTGGGTTCACATCTTAACCAAAACTAGCATATAATACATGGAATTGAAGCTTAGAACATGAGGAATAAGAATATATCGTAAAGAGGTCAAGCCGTGATAGGAGACGGCCCAAAAAAACCTACAAAGCTCGTGTTCTTGCCAAAAAAACTGAAGAGTGTTTCCCCCGAGTTGATTTCTGTGTAAAAGCTACCAAAAACTCGCGAGTAAGCTAGAAATCAGAAACTAAGAGAAAATGGAAGGATGCAAGTACTTACCGAGGTTGAGAAGTAAAGGGGATCACCAGTTCCTCGTCAGCGTTCTTGTGTAGAGAGCATCGAGAAAGGGAAAGAGTGTGTCCAAGTTTAAGACAAGGAGTAAAAGGGAAGGTGCACGGCGAGTTGGTGGCGGTGGAGCTCATCGAGGTGGCGAGGGTGTGTCGGTCTTGGCGCCACTGTTTGCAGAGGAAGAAAGCTGAGGGATATGAGAAGGAGAAGAGATGAGGTGGTAGCATAAGAGAGAGAGGTTCGGGGGTGAGGGGAAAAAGAAGACACATGGCAACAATGGAGGCCCCACGGGCCAAAATAAATTATTAAAATAACAAAAATATCCCACCAAAAATTATTAAAATAATAAAATAATAATTATAAGAAATATATAAAATATAAAATAGTAATTTTTACAAAAGTATTTTTCAGATTCGT